TTGGATATAATTTGTAAGATAAAAATGTTGTATAAAGTTTTATTATCGATATACTTCTAATACTTCATATTACAAAGTTAATCATAACTTTTAACAAATACCCTATAACCCAGTTCTATTTCCATCATAAAATTCGTTTTAAAAAGTTCATTAAAATAAGATCAATATAATATAAGACAAAATTGTCATAAATAATACAACCATTTGACCGATTCTTTTTTAATAATACAACCTTTAGATTATACCTGAATATTACAACCTTTAGGGGGTGTTAATTTTAAAAAAGACAAAAAAACTTGTAACCCGTTAAACCAGTTGCACATGACACGTGTCGTCATGTAATTGGTCTAAATATCAAATTTTTAAAAAAATAAATAATTTTAGATTTTTAATTTTCAATAAAATTGTTTTAACATTTAATTACTTCCTAATTAAGACATTAATTATGATATAGTATTTTTTAGCAAATTATAAAAAAATTAAAAATAAACAAAAAATTCACCCATCCCCCTCCCCCACCACCAAGCCACCATTTCTTCCACCACCAAGCCACCTCCTCTCTCCCCTCCCCCCACACGCAGCAACTCCCCAATGACGTTACGGTCGGCGCCCAGCTTCCCCACTGCCAACCAACTCACCCTCTCCCCTTTCCCCCTTACCCCGACCTCCCCCTTCCTCTTTGCGCTACCATACCAGGCCAAACCCTAACCCAAGCAGGAGCAACAGCAGCAGCAGCCGTTGGACTCGAATTCGGCGGCAATGGTTGCTATACCAAGTGAGGAAAATCAGTTTTCGGCATTCATTGTTGCTGCCCCAAATTAGCTCAGGCGTCAAAAGCGGTGGGGGGAGTTGGGCGACGCCGTAAGGGGATACGGATGTCGGGGTAAAGGGAAAGGGAGGTCGGGGTAAAGGGAAAAGGAGAGGGGTGGGTTGGCCAGCGGTGGGGGAGCTGAGCACCGGCCGTTCCGTCACCGAGGGGGTCGCTGCGCGTGGGGGAGGGAGGAGAGGAGGTGGTTGGGTGGTGGAAGAAGTGGTGGCTGGATGGTGTTTTTTTTTGTTAATAATAATAATAATAATAATAATAATAATAATAATAATAATAATAATAATAATATTAATTAATTAATTAAATTGACCAAACCAATAAAACAACGACACGTATCACGGTAACATGCAGGTTACCAAACGGTTATGTCTTGTTTAAAATTAACACCCCCTAAAGGTTGTAATATTCAGGTATAATCCAAAGGTTGTATTATTAAAAAAGAACCGCCTAAAGGTTGTATTATTTTTAGCAATTTTTCCTATAATATATTTAATTATTTAAAAAAAATAAAAGAGAATAAGTAAAAAAAAAGTTTTAATCAATAAAAGTAATTACAGTTTGGTAAATTCAGTAAAAATAATTTAAGTTCAATATAAATAATTTCAAATTAATATTAACATAAATATCTATTTACAAACAAAACTACAAAAGTACACTATTATAAAAATAAGCGATATAATATCTTATGTCTAAATATTCTGCATTATCAAAAAGGATTATATGACTGTATTTAACATTCAAAAAAAAAAAATTTTATCTTAAAATTTTATGAACAATCCGGGCATCGTCCAGGCACCAAACTAGTATACAAATAATTAAGACTTAAAGCCATGTTTGGTAAATGGCTTTTGGCTAGCTTTTTGATTAGCTTTTGGCTTTTTCTTTTGGTCAAACGTCCAAAAATATTTTTGGCTAAACGACTTTTCCGCCAAAAACAAAAAGCTAGTCTTACTAACTTTTTGGTTCTGGCTTTTCATTAAACAAATTAATAATTAATAAATAATAATTAATAATTAATAATTAATAATTAATAATTAATAATTAATAATTAATAATTAATAATTAATAATTAATAATTAATAATTAATAATTAATAATTAATAATTAATAATTAATAATTAATAATTAATAATTAATAATTAATAATTAATAATTAATAATTAATAATTAATAATTAATAATTAATAATTAATAATTAATAATTAATAATTAATAATTAATAATTAATAATTAATAATTAATAATTAATAATTAATAATTAATAATTAATAATTAATAATTAATAATTAATAATTAATAATTAATAATTAATAATTAATAATTAATAATTAATAATTAATAATTAATAATTAATAATTAATAATTAATAATTAATAATTAATAATTAATAATTAATAATTAATAATTAATAATTAATAATTAATAATTAATAATTAATAATTAATAATTAATAATTAATAATTAATAGTTAACAAATAATAATTAATAACTAATAGTTAATAATTAATAGTTAACAAATAATATTTATTATTTAATATTTAATAGTTAATAATTAATAATTAATCCTTAACATTAAATTTTTAATATTAAAATTTAATAATTAATAGTTAATGATTAATGATAAATAATTAATAGTTAATGATTAATAATTAATAATTGCAAATTAATGATTAATATTATTAGTAATTAGTGATTATAACTTAATAATAATTTGTTAGTACTTAATAATTAGTAGTTATTAATTAACAATTAGTAATTAGTAATATATAATTAATAATCAGTAATTAATAATTAGTAATTAGTACTTAATAACTAGTAGTTAGTAATTAATAGTTAGTAATTAATAACGAAAACCCAAATATTGAAGGGAGAATAAAGGGTATGGTTGACCTTAAAGAGTACTAACTTTAGTTCCTCCGTTGATTTCGTCTAGCTCAATGTTGTAGTAAATTGCACACATTTTCTGCCATTAAAATGGAAGGTTGAAGGAGGAGAGAGAAAATCAAGGGAAAGGGGGTAAGCAACTAACATCAATTAACACTAATTAGTTGTCAAGTACATATATACCCCTTGATAAACATGAATTGTTTATCAAGGTTATAAACATGTATTTTCTCAATTAATAATACTGATAATAAATGAATAAGAACTCATAATAATGTTTTTTAAGGTCATTTTGCATAGTTACAGCCAACAGCTGACAACTGATTTTACCAAACATATTTACATACAACAAAAGGTCAAACAACCAATACTAACAACCAATCAAACAAGTTAAGTTAAACAGCCAGCAGCCAAAAGCGAACAACCAACAACCAATTGCCAAACAAGGCCTTAATAATCAATAATTACAACCTGATAATTAATACATAAAATTAATAATGAATAATTAATACAATAATAATGGAGTATTATTTATTACATTAATATGATTATTAAAACTTTATAATTACAACTGAATAATTAATATTACTTACTCCCTCCGTATTTTATTACTTACTCAACTTTCCTTTAATTTTGCGGCCGAATTTTACTACTTGCTCCATTTGGAAACTTTTAACAATACTTTACCATTTTCCTCCCCATTGATGGTCCCTTCATATCATCTTTTAAAAACTTTCATATTCTCTTTTCTCTCCACTTAAACTCACTTTTTCTTATTCAGATTTTTTTATTCTTCAACCAACCCTAGTTCAATCATAGAATAATGCTTTCTACTATTCCTTCTAAAACTCCGTGTCCGGATAAATGGAGCAAGTAATAAAATACGGTGGGAATAATAATTACAACAAGGAGTCAAAATATATAAAATGTCTTGGCTTGTTCATTTGATATTACCTATGTTTCATATTGGTGATCTTGTTTACGTAAATCGATGTGAATCTTTATAATCGATGTGAATCTTTATAATCGTTGATCATAAATATCTTTAATCTCACACTAACAAAAATTATAAAAGTAAGATTAATAATGTACTCTCCAACACGAATATTACTAGACCCCATATGATTATGTTTGTTCTTATAGATTGAGAGAAATTTAGAAGATTCTCTCTCAGTTTTTATAATCAAAAGATTCAAAATAAAAACATCATTGTGAAACGGAAGGAGTAGAAATTACTCATTTATTAAAGTCATGTTGGAAGAAAGTGCTCATGATATCACAGTGTGAAAAGACAGTTTGACCAATTCAAAATCTAATTTTCCCTATCCACCTTCTGGTACACTATAATTCTTATATTACGTATTAGGTAAATAAGTTGATTTTTAGCGATCCTAATTTTAATATTGTTACCTTTATTAAAACTTGTATCACTTTTAATATTATTGTGAACTTAAGATACGCGTGTGTTAAGCGACTTTATATCGAACATAATGACCCTAATTTGAATATAATGACAGGTCTTATTACATTTATATTAATGTGTATTTTTAAAGTATATACTACATATTATTTCATAGTTTTTTTCAATGTAGAATTTCATATATTGTGTAACACCTCAATAATTCTCCTTTTTTCAAACTAAACATTTTAAATAAATATAGTAGAATTACTGACGTGTCACTTTCATGTGATAAAACTTTACAGCTTTAAAAAATTAGCAACAGATATAATAGTCTACAAAATAAATGATTCAAGCCAAAATAAAAATTCAAAAGTTAACTCATACAAATTGGAACCATTCAAAAAATAAGCAATCGAAAACAAGTTGAATAAATTCAAAAGCAGTAAACAATAAAATCCAAATACTAAAAGAAACTATCAAATCTTAACAACCAAATCATTGCATATTCCTGATACCATTGATGCATTGTCACACACTGCAATTCAGTCAGAAACCTGTGAGAAAATTGCTCCCTAACCATACAAATATTATACTCCGTAGTTGGATCATCACAGGCCATTTGAAGACAAAAGCCATGACCAAAGAAACACAAGCACACACACACACAAAAGCACTTAATCAGGAACGTCGAGTCTACCAAAATACAAATATGCAAATAATCCTAACACACTGCCAACATACTTTATTATAACATCATTGATAAATAACCTTCGACTCATACATGATTCTTTTCCTTTTACCTTTTCTCACAAGTTTATACAATTTTAATGCATAAATTTGCCCATTTATTGGATTAGTGTGAAAGGATTATACTTACCAGAACTCGAATTCCTACAAGTGAAATTCCATCATTATTTAGGGGCAAATAATTGTCCACAATGCAATTCAGCCATAAGATTTACACCTACCTTTTATCAGATGGAGGACAAGAAAGATGAGTATTATGGACATTAGAGAATTGAAAACTCGTCTAGAGAGAAAGAGGGTACAAAAGGAGCTATCAATGACCTTCACTTCTAGACTCGTCTAAAACAATATGATGGGAAGTTTATTCTACATCGGTCTTCCACCAAATGATGTTATACTCACCTAAATTTCCTTTTCAATCTTTGAAAAGTCGGCCTAATCAGGTTGCTGGGGGCAGTTAAACCTTGATCTGTAGCGTCAATGTCTATTATAGAATGATGGTGTTCTGTTGTTCCATTTCCATTCGCAGCCAAGCCACTCAGTATCTTATGGGTATTAGCCTTAGTGTTGATCTGTCTAGGGTTGCCCAGTCTTTCTAGTATGATTGAAGTTCTTGTGTCCAGTGGTTTATGAATTGCTGGTGCAGAGGTTCTTGCCTTTTCTAAATTGGGTTCTGAAAGCTCTGAGTCCATTCTCGGAATACCACCAACAATTAGCTGCTCCCATTCTTGTGTAAGACGTGAGATACCCTTGTCATCTTCAATACCCTGATCAGAAGTGCGAGTTTGCACTGCTAAAACTGCGATGTCCTTCCCTGACGACACTACAACCTCTACCCCTGGCGGAGCTGCAACATTTCTCGCTACACTAGGTTGCAATGAGACTGCTACATCATCACTGCAGGTAGGAATTAAGGGTGCTGTTGAAATTTCTGGGGCTACCAGCCTGCAAAAAGGAAAAAGATAAGGCCACAGCTAAGTTCCAAAATTGGAACAAAGATCGGACAATTTTGAAAATACAGTGTGTTACAAAACGAACCACTAATTAAAACATAAGAAAATGAAAGGAGCACAAATGTGTGAAATTCATGCTAAGGAAGTTAGGCATCCAAAGGCACTGCAAAGCTTCTCTCTAGCAAACAAAACAGTACAAGAGTAGGTTGCTATAGCAGTATAGCATATAACAAGAGCTTTAATTTGACAGCAACATTAAAGCAGAATGCAAATGCATAATATGAAGACACTGGCTGGATACACACTTCTGCATGTGAAGAGTTCCAAATTCAGCAATGACATTGATATTTGAGCCTTATCCTTTGGAAGTGGTTGTTAAAAACAACCCAACCTTCTAGGAATTTCTCATATGATAGGATAAATTTAGAGCTAGTCTAAACATAGAATTTTTCTCCCGAATCAACTATATCCATGGAATTTCTTGATTCAGGAGAGAAATCCTATGTTTATGGAGTAAATGAATTTCACTTTCAGCTAGAATCATCCCTCTGTCCTGAATCAAGAAAATTTATGCACTCCACCTGATAGGTTCTATTATCTGATAGGGATGATGCTAGCCAAAATCTGTGAAACACAAATTACCTCATAATAGATTAACGAAGTAAGACAAAATAGATAGAAGGTTCCATATAAGAAAATTGAAGCCCAATGAGAGGCTAACATATTTTATAAAAACAGCCCCTGCATGCATCCCGAAAGTTTAAACAGATAAAAAGCATATAAATCTACAACTAAACTGCTTTCCCATCCGAGGCTTAAGCATAAAAAATGAATATCCGTAGAAAGTCTATTCAAGCAAGATCAGGTGAGGGTAACATATAGTTAAAAAAAAAAAAAAAAAAAGTACATAATAACAGGCATCAGCAGCAACAGCCAATGTGGACGCCGCTGCTGGAGGGATTCTGTGAGGAATCTGAGGATAAGATGTATGTGAGACAATGAGTATCAAGGTAAACTGAGGGGTCTGTGCTTAAAGATATATTTACCACCTACTGTGACAATATCATGGATGCTGCATGCTTATATCGCATAAAGACAACCAAACAAGCTGCTAGATAGAACATGAAGGTTAATTTAAGAAGTAAAATTTACCCAAGCCGTAAATTCTCTTCAACAAGTTGGTTGAGTTTTTTATGAAAACCCCCACAATGCTGCACTGGATTGTAGTCTTTAAGTTCCACCTGGAAGTAGGGACGGATCCAAAAAAGTTAAAAAATTAGTGGCGATCAAGGGGAAAAACAAATAATGTAAATTTTCTCTAGTTAATATTGTACACAACCAACCACAACATTGAGTATACTGTTCAAACATGGGGAGATAGGTAAAGTAAAGAATAAAAGTATTCTCTCCTACCTTAAACTTTTGCTCTTTGGTGGAGAAGAAGATAGATAGTATTCTCATCTAAGTGATCTAACAGTGCTTTTCTTTACCCCTTTTGTTTTTTTTTTGTTTTTTTAAATGAAATGGGCTAGTAATCCTTGCATGAATTTTATCTTATCCTTTTGACATGTTAGTCCAAAGACAAGTGTAAATCTTCTCATGCCTAAAAGAATGGTGGAATACAGAACACGAACACAAATTGTTATGATGCTCGAGACAAATCTATTGCCAACAGAATCCCAGCCAGTTGCCAGTTAAACAAGATTTCAGCAGTAAAATTGAGTCTTAGTTCAATGTAATTATTGCAGGGTAAATCACTAATGAATGATTGCTTTTCCAAGCTGTTACATATTATACTCACAATTTCACACATTTATTTTCATGTTTAGATAAAGATATAGTAAAAAAACAAAGATCTTGGAAGTGTCATATGAATAATAAATAGAGTCCATACAAAGGATTTGGGAATGGCACTTGAGCTGTAATGTGGGTTTAGGGGTCTAGCATGACCATACAATCCAGTCAGCAAGCAAATAACATAACTAAAGTAATCACAGGACTTGCATGTCTGTACAATTACAGCATTTTCACATCCATGCTCATTCTGCAGTCTGCACAACCATGTAAGCGCACAAACTGACGTGGAACTCCGTGGAATGGTGTGATGAAACTTCATGAATTTCTGTACTTTGTTCCAAAAATTGTCCTAATATTTACAATCCGTGGTAATTTGGACATATCTTATTCATTATCCTCCATGTGTGAGATTTGAAAAAAAAAAAAAAAATCTGACATAAATTTGTGTATCTTGAGTTTGTGAAAATTAAATAAACAAACTTCTAGTTGATTAATTTAGATTAGCAACTTCTTTTTTTATAACCTAAAATTAATATTTCATATCAGATACTCTGTTGCTTTCTAAAGGGTTAATCATATACATTTAGGAAAATGTTTTTCATGTACAACAATGCATTAAAGAGCCCAAGGTGTACTAAGGAGAAGAGGGTCCTGCTGCACCTAGGCATGCCTCACTTCAATGACTGCCTCACTGAAGAGAGGCACACAATATATATCAGATAATTTAGCCATTTAGGAGTAAAATTAAAGATGTGCAACTCACACCCCTCAGGTGCACCTGTTTGGATGTGCTTTGCCTAGCTAAGAAAAAATGCAGTACCTAATTTGCCTAGCGCCTCAGACCTTAGGCACACTTTTTTAAAACACTGCCAAAGAAAATACCTGGTCACTATGTTTTTCTCAAAATTATTCATAGACCTATTCTATATTTTGCAAAATCACATTTTCATTTCATTTCCACACATTATCAATTGCATTGCATAACTAAACATTGCATGCTTTGCTTAAAGACTAAACAGACCAGAAAACTCTCTACTAAGCAACTGCTAAGCTTCTTTTATTTATTTATTTATTTATTTTTTTTATTTTTTTTAAATAACTGTTAAAGCTTATGTTGCAAGTAAATAAGGAATGACACGAACGAAGAGTTTAGAGAAAGGGGAAATTCGAATATGAACCAGAAAAGTGAAAGATGGTGATTAGCCTGTTGAGGTGGATCTATGGGGATGCTCCATTTGGCTTATACCTTTATATCTCCTTTCGACGGAATGGATGTTATGGAACCATGTAGCTAATCTCCAAATTTTATTACATGATGAAGGTTAATTTATATTGAGAGTTGCAAATATGGTTAGACAGGAATGAAACCTTAATGTGGTTGAATCAAGAATTCGTGCCGATATCAGGACTAAAACAAAATATATGGTCTTAGATTGACATCTCTAGAGGTGCTAACTGTTTCCCAATTCACAATTTGGTTGAAGGAGCTTAGTCTTGTTATACTTCATTAAGGGTCTGATAACCAAAGACCAATTAAGTACAGTACATCACAACCTGACTAGTTTCCTTGCTAGTAAAACCTTTGACAAGCTTTCTATTGTTGACATTAAAATAGAAGAGAAGCTATGAGTTAAAATATACGAAGTAGCAAATTTTATACATTATTTTAATTCAGATTCACTCTAGATTAGAAATACCTTGTATTAATTTTATAAAGGCTATAATTAGCCACTTTATTACAGCTAACATAATTTGAGAGAAATAAATAACATATCAGAGATCTAATATAGATTTTACTTTCCAAAAGCTGTCTTTCTTCTTTATTGTTAAGTTTAGGAAGCTTGGTGTGGCTAGTATCTGTACGGGAGGAAGAGTCAAAGATTCAAAGAGATGATATATGTGGCAAGTGAATACTTAATTCTCGGTGTTGCTAATACCAGTATGAGACATAAAAGATTCAAACATAGTGTATCAAATTTCATATGGCATGATTTTCCTTTATTCTTGCATGCTCAAGTAGTCCTAGTGTTGATTGTTGACTATTAAGTGATTCCTCTACGGACTCTACACGACTTACTTCTGGGTTCAGCCATTCAGCTAGGGTTAAAAGTTCCTTTATCATTGGTAAAAAGCTCATATCTGATGATCTTAGTGCTTCAAAATTACAAGTGTAGACCAAACTTACCTCCATTAGACACTGTTGAATGCAACGATCAATCTCCTCAGTAATTGAAGAGTCATCTATATTTGCATCAGGAAAGGGCAAGATTTCCTCAGCTCCTGCAAGCCTCTGCTATAGTGAAAATTTAGGCTGATATGCAGAAGAACAAAAATTCGAAGCCAATGATATTGGAATTTAAGAAACAGATCTTTACCCTGAGCAGCATCGGTCCACTTTCAGATGGTTGAAGAATGTAATAGTACATACATGCAGTTTCTCTCATTTTCTCTAAATTGCAGACTGACCAGCATATTAGACCCTGATCCATTGAGTGAAGTGCATGACACAGGCCCTGGAAAACTACCAATCACAATCCCATTTAGGGGAAGAAGGCACCTTTGATTATCTCCAATAAGATACTGAATAGGTATTAACACTAAAATGTAATATGGAGAACTTCAAGACGCATTTTGACAATGGAAGTAATTTGCAAAAGATGAAGTGAGACTGTTGCTAGCATACGCACGCCTACTATTCAACTGGCACAAATTGCTATCTTCGGGAGCAGTATCTGTTTCCTGAGCAACCGATGGGAAGACAAAGTAAGGTCTTCCAACTACCACACCTGTCAAGTTATGTATACCATCAATAAAGAAAGGTACCTCAACTGCAAAATCAAAGATAGAAGAAGGCATTGCAGCATGATTCCTGAATCTCAATATGTATATTGCAACTCTGATAGCCAAACTAAAGAAAGCTGCTCGTCACAATAATTAATAACACCACTAAATTTAAAACTTTACAAGTCTCTCTGAGTCCCTGGACACATCACAATGTGCAATGATAATAACAGGCGACCTCAACAATATACAGACCAAAACTCTATTAACTATGAGAGGCATTCCAACGTACAAGTAAGTCGGAATAGATAAGTTCAGCAGATTTTTTTTTTTTTTTTTTTTTTTTTTTTTTTACAGGTTACTACTTTCTGCCAATTAATGTCAAAGCATTTCTGCTGGCAGTTTGAAGCACCACATTTCTTCCTTCCATATATCTGATGTCAACAAACCAAACATGATTACTACAGCAAGCAGATACTTCACATATTTCATGGTTAGTCTTTTAATTATGAAACTGTCAATATTCGAACTGAAAAATGAAATTAAAGTTTATAAAATCAGAAGCAACATGGCATTTCTATTGCACAATGATGTTAAAAATGCTTAATTTCTCAAAAACCAAATACTTTGTATACAACATAAAATTCAAATGCCATCTGAGCAAGCATCAGACATGAGATATTATCCATTGATAAGTTTGTTCACTAGTTTCATCAGTCTTAGGCTTTAACAGGTCGCTTATAAGTTGCAAGCAATTGGCAAAAATGTTAAGGTCACTTGCTTTTCAAGTTGGAAGCGTATTTTATTGCTAGAGAGATATTTTCACACAGCTTCTCTACTTATATACCTGAAGAAGGGACAGCAATTTGATTATGAACAAATGGCCAAAAACGGAAAAGATATGGAAGCATACCACAAAAAAAAAGGTTTACATATGCCTGGAGGATGGGTTAATAAAAAGATGAAAGTCAGAAATACCATACTCCAAGGCTCCAAGCAGGAAGCTTGGCCAGAACAGATACATTATCCCAAAAGTTGAATTCTTCGACTTATAGTCTAGTAATTTCAACCTGCTACCTTTTCTATACCAAAGATGGACTGAAAAAAGAGTGCATATTGTGTCAAGAACTGGTCTCTAATTCTTATTTTCTCTCTTACAGAAGATATTTCTCAGTCTAGCTCAGTAAAACAGTTACTATCAATCAAACAAGATCTGATATTGAAACGACTAGGATGAATCAGAGTTCTAATAACATAATTAACCAGGCGCCACACTTACCTTCATTCAGGGAAGCCAAACTAGTCCTCTCAATAACATTTAAATTAACAACAGAGGGAACTTGACGGAGATTCTTCCAGCACCGCCACGACACTTCAGCCAGTAAGCCATTATCACCAACAGTCATAGAGCTATTATCAGCATCATCTGGTTCCACATCATGATTTTTGACATGGTACAAAGGACATTCCTTGAACACGAAACTATTTTTATCGTCCCTTTGGATATCATGACACCTATGTGTCTACAAATTGTAAGAAATTAATATAATTACCATCACAAGTACAATGGACAAGTTCATTGTAGTGGCAGAAAAACTTTATATCAGCTATTGTGTAACTGTATTGAGAAAACACATACAACAACAACAACAACAACAACAACAACAACAACAACAACAACAACAACAAAGCCTTAGTCCCAAAATGATTTGGGGTTGGCTTACATGAATCATCACAAGGAACCGCATGATATAAAAAGGGATAAAACAAGATAATCAGTTGAATGAGTTTAAAAAAAGGTAAGTAATGTGATAAAAAGAAAGAGCATCCAAGAAAAATATAGAGAGTTTTAAAAGTGAACAAAAAAGAAAAATCAAGAAAGTTTAAAAGAGGTGGTTAAAACATTCAGAATAAAAAACACAAAGGTTTGAGAAAACTTTAGTAAAGCAAATCAATACAGTTCATAAAACACTAATGAGATAAAATAATAAAAGTAAATACTAAGATAAATTTTTAAAAGTATATATATAATCATGACACATCGTTGACATGCTCTATCTGACACCATATCTTCCTCAATTCCCAAAGCACTCATGTCACTCTCAATTACCCTTTTTCAAGTTTTCTTAGGTCTTCCCATACCTCTCGCGATCAAACATTTTGCAATTCTTCAAGCCTCCTTACCGGAGCGTCACTTGGTCTCCTTCTTACATGATCAAACCATCTTAAGTGATTCTCCCTCATCTTGTATACAATCAATGTAACTCTAAGGTTATATTTTAAGCGTCTCTTTTTTACTACACTAAAAAATAACGCCCTCTCAATATTTTAACCGTCATCCCAAACCATAAACTAAGGGCTCGTTTGGCATTGCTGTGGTTTTCTGTTTTTTGGTTTTTTTGTTTTTCAAAATCATATGATATATGTCATATAATGAATCAAAAATTAGTCAAACTTATTAAAATCATGATAATTTTTAAAACTAACAAAAGAAAAGTGGAAACACCTTTTTCTTGTTTCTTGTTTTTGGTTTTTTGTTTTCAAAAAAACAGAAAGCTGAAAACCAAAAACGATGCCAAATAAGCCCTAAGGTTATAGATTTCCACCTAAAATGGCATAAGGAGCCCCTCAATACGATATATACAAACTTTTCTTCCAACTTTAACCATGGTAGACATGTTATGTTGAGAATGAAGTAAGTTGTGCAATCCTAATAATGCGCAAAGCTATAGAAACAAATTAATATAGCAAAGAGAAACTTGGCCCCATAAAATGATTCAAAATTCCTTCCTTTTCCTCTTACCCTTTCTACCAAATGGAAGCAAATGAGGTAAGATGCAAGGTATACTGCTAAGCAGCTTAACAAAAGACGATATGAATACAAGAATCAGTATATTGCACAAAGAAAAATTATATCTTAAAAAATGAGTTCTGGGCATAACTGCATAAATTAATGCCACAAACGACCATTGTCTAAATATCTTCCTCGGATAAGAAAAAGTGTAAATGTAAAAAAATAAAAAAAAAACCACAAATATTATTCCAATACACATAATATCTTCGTATCATCATGATTAGCTCTTACTCCTACTCATTTGCCTTGAGCCCCTGAAATCTAGCACATATATAATTTTTGAATAATACAGCTCCATATTGGATTTTTCATACAAGATCATACAGGTTTTAGGAGTGGCCTAGCTTCATTTATAGTACCTTTGTTGAATGAGGTTGACTAAGGCATGGAATGTGAGAGTAATATGATTCCGTATCTGTTGGATGTCTCCAACATTATATACTCCTCTTTTTTTTTTTTTTTTTTTTTTTTTTGGGGGGGGGGGGGGGGGAGATTCTACTATATTCTTTCTACGATGTTTTGCTTAAATGTTGTAACCAGGACTACTCGGAGTCTTTACTTTATTATAGTCTCTCTCCTGCGCCTTGACTACTCACATGGGTGGACTTATTATTCATTTAAAAATTAAGCTATTGTCTCTCTTCTACTTTTCGTTACTGACATTGGTTAGTTAGACATTTCATTGATATCCTTAACAAAGTAGCCCCAAGAGAAATGGTATACCAAAAAATTGGAAGGAGTAGAAGTTTAGGTAATATACCCACAAGCAAAATGGGAGTCCAAACTCTATACATGTGCACATTTTGAACTTTCATCATGGATTCTATATTTTGATGTTTTGTCACTAAAGTTTAATATGTACCTCACAAAGATTGAACCCATCCATTATCTGGTTTATGGAACCACACAATCTGCAACATATTCGGTTAACAGAACCAGCAATGCTCTTCTCGAAAAGAAAATTAGCCTCCAACAATTCTTCTGTGCTCTCTGTCAACTCTCTAAGCCATCTTTTTGCCAGGCCGTTAAATACCTGTCCATCTGAAGTTCTCCACTTGATAAGGTAGAGTATAACAAACTACATGCATGAAAGATCATAGATGCTTTTCAACACTGCAAAATCATGCAGTAACGTATTCTCAAGATAAGATTGCCAGATACATAAGTCAGGTCACTGACATCACTGCCAGAACTAGTACTAAGAAGATATTTCTAATGAATCTGGCAAAATGCAATATTTTTGATCGAAAATCCACCTTTGAAGGGAAGTGGATAATAGATAGAGATTTTTTATTATTTGTTTCTTTTATGCTTCGGAGTTGAGGGTATTAGCAAGACCATAAACTCTCTAAATCCTGGGTTGACCCAGCCTAAGAACACCACGCTACATCATTCAACTAGAGAATTCATTTATTAGTTCACCACAACGTCGAGGGATTTAAGCTTGAAATGTAGGTAACTAGGTGCACAGAGATATATAAGTGGTGAAAAACTGTCCAAAAAAGCATGAAGCTGCTTTGGAAATAAAGATAAAAAGTTGAAAATGTATAATAGAGAGCACCAATGGGGTGAAATTTACTGATAAACTAAAACATCAAATCACCATCTCAAAGACTAAAGTGCAATAGCTCACCTGGAAGATATGCATTAAACGAGCAGTTTTCAAGATCGCATATTTGTTCTTTAAATTTGTTTATATTTTCTGAGATGTCACTGAGTTGGCTTGACTTTTGCTCAAGGAACAAAAATTCCACAGATATGCATCTGTCGGCAGCATCCTGTCAAGAGTATACAACAATGATTTTCAAATGGAAAGGATTGACTATCTGCGAGAGAAATTGAATCTTTCTAGGGAACCAATCACATTTTACCATGAGAGTCTTTTTAGCATTATAGTCCAGATTTCCTAGTAAACATGAGCTGATAAGAATTAATTTCTTCTCTGAATCTTTGCCACCAGCAGAGTTCAACACTTCATCACTGACGATATGGTCTGCATATTTCACCAAATCAGCAATAGACAAATATATAAGATGAAATTGAGTACAATTGAGGGAATATGACTGATGTAGGTAGAGAGAGAGAGAGAGAGAGAGAGAGAGAGAGAGAGAGAGAGAGAGAGAGAGGGGGGGGGGGGCTTACTTAAAACGTTTGATCCAGAATCTTCAAATAAGGGAGGTGAATAGGAATAAGAGGGCAAGTGGTTGACAGCATAATGAAAATCACACAGACTGAAGCTACTTCCCCGGGGAGAGTACACAACTTTAAGCTGCTCAAGCAAACAGAAACATACTCATTTCAGACACATGTTCACACATCTGGGACTATATTATTAAGCGTAGGTAATTAAGGTACAGTAACAACTTTAAATGAGACACATTCAAGATAATTATTCTGTGTGATACTCATGTGTTAGACACTGTTCATAATTCTTAATTCAACCATTTAATGGATTGTCAGATGGCAAACAACCTACATAAATCCCAACTAACAATACAAAGTGGTCGAATTATATAAAAAATCTGAAGCTTCTCACAATGATGCAAAAGTAGTCATTTCAATTATGTTACTAAGATGTAGCACTATGTTGAAGCTAACATCACACTTTGTATTAGCAAACTACAATATCTTAGAGAATAAAAGGCACAAGTTTGAAGACATTTGATCATATGCTAACTACTATAGCACTTTGAATCAAACAAAAATAAGTATTAACTTAATGATAGACAAATGCCAATTGCGACTATGCTATGTGGAAATCTCAAACACATTGCTTTAAAATCATTTCTAATTGTAAATTCGCTTTCATATAAAGCAAAAAAAGACAGTAATAATTAAAAAGCATCAAATAATCACAACAATATTGCAAAACAAAATTATTTAACATAATGTTTACTGAAATTCATCCTGAAACAAAATACACTACACAATCATAAATGAGACATGAACCAAGCCAAACACCGATAGCACATAAATTAATCCTGAAAGAAAATACACTACACAATCTTATATGAGACGTTAATCAGGCCAAACAATGATAGCAGTCCAATGCTAATTGCTACTCAATGTAATGTGAAATCCTCTTTTATTGAACTTGATTAATGAATAATTCATTAGTTTTGAAACAGACATACATTGATCAAAACCTATCAAAAATTAGAAAGGAAAACCCTAACATCCGGAAAAAATAAAACTCAAGCATCATAATGTACCTCATCAGAGGACGAAGCAGCAGAATGTTGCAAGTAACACAAGCCAATGCGATCTTCAAGCGAGGAATCAAATTTACGACGCTTCAATTTTGACGTCGAAGCAGAAAAGGCATACAAATTCGCCAGCTCTAACAAGCACTGATTCACAAACACATCAAAATTTCAACATCAGCAAAATTTGTTAAAAAAATGAATCGCAAAATCTTCGAAATTATTAAACATAAACGAAATTTACAGGAAATGAAGTAAATTAACGACCACTGATTCACGAACACATCAAACATTGAACATCAGCAAAAATTAAATTGAATTAAATCACCAAATTATTGAAATCAAACCTAATCAAAATTCAAACAAACGAAGCAAAGTAACAATGCAAATAAATTGAAGAGAGAGAAAATAATTCGAATTGGAAAATAATGAATCAAGGCGTAATGAAGAGGAGAGAGAAAGCTTAACCTGCTTCAGTTGTGATAGAAATGGAGGAGAGAGAGTACGTAAATCGAGAGCGAAAAGTAACAGCGCCATTTTTAGGATGAAGTGAGTTCTCTGAATTTTGTTGTAACTTGTAAGAAATGATGAATTTCGTAGTCTAGGGTTTAAATAGCACAAGGAGTCAAGGATGCACAATCATGTATAAAGCGCGCCAATGGAAATTAATGTGGTGGTGGCAACGGCATACAAAATTTCCCATGTCTTAAAGTCTTGAGCCTTTTTAAAGGTGGTTTCCGTTAGAGGTGACCATAGGACGGCCGAGACAGGCGAAAGCAAGATAAATCAGCTTAATCAACCTGTTTGGTTGGGTTGAGCTAGGTTCGGACTGAAAAATGCTTGACCAAACCCGTAAAATAAGACTGAGTCTCATAGGCCATTTAAATTAACTAAAATCTTAAAAATGCATGTCCAAAGCCCGTGACAAAAAAAAAAAAAAAAAAAAAAAAATGGATGGCCAAACCCGACTTCAAACCAAAAAATTTTACTCAAAACCCGCCCAAATTTAGGCCAGCATGTTGGGCCGACTATGATCAATACTAGATTCCGTTCATCTGATTCTAATTTGAAATTTATATTGTATTTATATTTTGGTCTAATTTGATTTTTTTTTTTTTGCTAAAATTTTACATTATTTGTACAATAATTATTAGACTTATGAAATATTCATAATTTTTAAATTAAATATAGATACTTAGTGATTAAGTGTAATCTAATCATTTCTAAATATGCACATGTTTATATATATATATATATATATATATATAAAGTGAATGATATATACATACACTAAGGGGCCGTTTGGTTCATAAAAGGGAAAGGGAATGACTAAAACAAAGGGAAAGGAGAAGAATAGAATGCAACTCCCTTTAATTTGCTATGTTGTTTGTTTTAAATAACAAAGGGAATGAGAGCCACCACACATACAACCACGAACCACCTACCTCTTTGGTTCTGTTTCTCTTTTTTTTCGAACACTTTGAAGATCCTTCACCACCCACCTTGGCCACCTACCCCACCGCCTCCCCACGCCGCCCCTTCCCCACCCCAGGCCCAAGCTAGACGCGCCTCCTTGTCGCTGCAAACCACCAGAAAAGATCTCCTCTCCCCCATTAAACTTCCCCCAGCCCCGAAAAACCCTAAAAACCCCCTCTCCAACCGTTGGGTGGTGTTTTCGTGGTGGATTGAGCGTATTGAAGGTGGTGAGATTGAAGGGCTGACGACCGAGAAGAAGGATCCGTGTCGGGGGAGGGGCGACGATCCTCCGGCAATGGTTGAGGGAAGGATGTCGCGCGTGAGTCTCGTGACATGGATCCTCCGGCAATGGTCGAGGGAAGGATATTCGGGTGAGAGGAGGGGTGACGAGGGTCGAGGGAGGCCGGCGAGGGTCCGGTGAGGGCGACGAGTTCCGGTGAAAAGTGGGTGAGGTCCGGTGAGGTTGGTTGGGCAGTGGTGTCGGTGGGCAGTTGGTGTTTCAAGGGTGGTCAAGGTAGTTAAAAGATTGGTCAAGGTAGTTGGGTGAAGAGGAGTTTGGGGGTTAGGGTGATTCCCTTGGGGGGGGGGAATGAAAATAGAGGGAAATGTAGTAATGGGAGGGGTAAAGGGAATGATTGAATTTGCCAATCAAACATCAACAAAGGGAATCATGACAGTTGATTCTCTTTCCCTTTGTTGAATACTCCCAACCAAGCGGCCCCTAAGTCTTAACTAATAAAAACCAAGGTGATCATGATCAACTAAGGTTGGCTTGTTTTATGCTACACAATCTTCTTTTTAGTTTATTTAACCAATTGCTTATATCATGAATGTTTAGATTCGATCCAAATTTTTTTATTTTCCTTTACTTACCGCCCATATATCTTTGATTTGTAAGTAAAGAATTATGTAAATTTTCATGATTCAAAAGTACAAACTAATGCAAATCTAACGACACCTTAGTTAGTAATAAACTTTTATCTTAAGGATTAGTATACAAATAAGGTTAGAGTTTAGATGAATTTATATTACATAATCATATAGTGCATGGTTGGAAATTTAGGCTAAACTTCTTTGTCCCTCTAAACTCTTCAAAATTAATTTAAGCTAGCCTCTGGCCAAATTTATCCTAAAAATGAGTCTAGTAATTAAAAAGTTTGGGTGATTCCTGGCCTAATTGGCTAAGGCCCTGTTCTTTGAGCTTTTGGGTCTGCAGAGCAGATTTCAGCAAAGCAGAGAAGAGTAGGGCAGGGCTCAGCAGAGTAGAGTAGAGCAAAACAGCTCAAAAGAACAGGGCCTAACTCTAACACTACAGAAGTGCCCAAACCCATCTTAATTTCTCAAGCCTTTATAAATTTGTTTATCAATCATACACCTTGTTGGTATACCTAAATCTACTTCTACCCTTGGCCTAAGTCGTGTAAATTAACATTTTCGGTAGTTCATCTTACCTACCTAGCTAAAAAATGTAGATATTTTTTACTCTGTAGTTTATAGTTTTCAAACAACAAAATTTTGTTTTTCAAAACTTAAACAAAACTACTCTTTTCTTGTCTTAATACAATCAACGTTTTATTTTAGGAAAAAATCACAAATGTTTAGGCAATCTTCTCTCACAACTAAATTGATTAAATTTATCATGCGTTTGAGTATTAATTTTGACCAATTTTGGGTCTGATTCCTAAAATTTTGATCGAGTACACGGTTTGCTCACCCCTAATATAATTTCCAAAGCTATCTTTTTTAGCTTTCATCAACAACTACTTAAAAGCTAACTCTAGATACCTCTAATAACTACTCCCTCCGTTTTTAAATACTTGCTCCACTTTCTATTTTCGGCCGTTTTAAAATATTTGCTCTATTTTCATATTTAGAAAGATTTTACAATATTTAATTTATTTTTTTTCACCTAGTGGACCCAACATAAATCATATTTTATTAATTTCATATTCTCTCTTCTCCAATTCTCTCTACTACTTCCCTTCAAAAAAAAAAAAAAAAAATTCTCTCCACTACTTTTGCTTTTTACAATTTTTTTTATTCTTCCACCTACCCCACTATAAACCATAAAAATTTAAACATGCAATATACAAATAAAGAGGTAGAAAAATATACGGGAACAATTATTCCATTGATAATTGGTGGGTTACAACTCCCGTAGATCTCTTGATTCCTCTCTTCAAAGGGCTAGAGTTTTGATATTTGTTTGTAGTACGGGGCCTTGTTAGCTTATTTCATACTATGGACCTACAATGTTTGGTAGTAGGGTGGAGATGAGGTCTTTTTGACTTATTCTATCCGAGTCTCCCTTAAACCCTAGAAACAACCCTCTTATAGAATGTCGTAAAGTAGTAAGCAAGATAGCTATCAAATATTCTACGAGATCTTGAAGATAATATTTTATATTTTTTGATATTATCTCCTAATTTACATATATTTAACACCTAAATATTAACAAAATTTCGGTGTCAACAAATGCCTCCTCGAGACCTGTTGTGGAGATTTGACATCGAATGCAACTTGGTCTTGAAAATTTTCTTGTAGAATTTGAAAGCAAATTTGGCATGCCTCCATTGAATCTACGGATTTTGAAACATGGAGAGCGGAGATGAAGAGCGTAAAATTGTCCACCGAGTGTGCCAATTTGTAAACCATAAAAATTTAAACCTGCAATTTACAAATAAAGAGGTAGAAAAATATACGGAAACTATTATTTCATTGATAATTTGTGGGTTACAACTCTCGTACATCTCTTGATTCCTCTCTCCAAAGGGCTAGGGTTATGATATTTGTTTGTAATACGGGGCCTTGTCGGCTTATTTCATAGTATGGACCTACACCGTTTGGTAATAGGGAGGAGATGAGGTCTTTCTGACTTATTCCATCCGAGCCTCCTTAAACCCTAGAAACAACCCTCTTTATATAGAATGTCGTAGAGTAGTGAATAAGATAGCTATCAAATATTGGACGAGATCTTGAAGATAATATTTTGTTATATTATCTCCTAATTTACATATATTTAACACCTAAATATTTACAAAAGTTTGGTGTCAACACCCACTACCACCATATTTTATTAGTTTCTCCTAAAACTCCGCACATGGAGAAATGAAACAAGTATTTAAAAATGGAATAAGCACTTAAAACATTATCTCACCAAACACTAATATTACTTTAACATAGTATTTTGACCAGATTTACAAATTAATAAGAGTAATAGCTACCTTAAAAGCTAACGACGAACAGACCCTAAGTCAACAAAACTTCTTCCAAAAAAAAAAATGGTTAGCAACTTAGCAAGACATTTGGGGCCACATGCAATAAAAGATTGTTATGTACTGTATCTACAAGAGTACAAGCACTATTCTAATCCCATGTTTAAAATTCCAATTAGAAAAGCAAAGGAGGAAGAAAGAGTAAAGAGGCGATGAAAAAAAGCTGCAGAAAGAGATCAACAACGTGTATGGCAGAGCCAAATGACATCTGTTTTACTTCTCTTATTCTGTCAAAGACACGTTCTTCTTCTTCACTGCTTTTATTCACTACTACTACAATTACTACTATGTTTTTATTCTCATTTGTTCATGTTTCCTGTTGCTGTACCAATTTCAATGACATCAACAATAACACCAACACTATGGTATCACCTTTCTCTCTCATCTTTGCTCCTGCTCCTACTTTCTTACACCTCCAAAAATTTGCCTGTCTCATTCCAAGACTTTTTGTGTAATTTCTCCTTACTATTTTTATCTATTTTGATCTTGCTTTTTTATGTATTGTACTTTGTTTGTGTATATTGTTAATGATACAATTAATTTGTTTTAGTGGGGTGGGTTTAAATTGGGGATTTGTTAAACATCGCCCACAAATTACTACATAAAGCCACAAAATTCACTTGGTTTCCCAAAATTGTCCTTGACCTTAAAAAAAAAACACTCACACTCTCATCACTCATACTCTCATTGCTCATCTTCTTTCAACCTCTCTAAAAAAAAAAATTTCAAAATAACGGCAATGTCGAGGCGGCAAGGCAAGGAAGTGGCGGCGGCGGCGGAGGGAAGGATGTCCCAAGGAGGAAAGGTATATTTTGTTTAAAAAAAAAAAAAAAGGGGAAAACCGCCGTGAACGCGGTGGGGCGCCCTGGCTGGACGCCCAGCCAGCGGTGGTGGTGCCAGATGCAGACGCCGCCACCAGTTGGCTGGCGCCTGGGCTGGACGCCACCGCCACGGTTGTGGCGTTTATTCTAGGCGCCGCAGCCGTGGCTTTGGCGTCCAGCCCAGGCGCCAGCCAACTGGTGGCGGCGTCTGCATCTGGCGCCACCACCGCCGGCTGGGCGTCCAGCCAAGGCGCCCCCCCCATTTTTTTTTTTTTTTTTAATATAATTTTGAATTGTTTTTATATTTTGTTGTTTTATTTTTATAAATTTTTTCAATTTCGTTGTATTTTTTCTACGTTTATATTTTGTTTACAATTATTTGTATGTTTTTAGTTTATTTGATTTGCGATGATGATTATTTATCGTATAAATTTTTGTATGTTTATATATTTTAAAATTTTGTGTAGGGTCGTCATGGTGGGGGGAAGAATATAGAGCTTCTTAGTAGAAGTTATTCAGTGGAGAGGTCAGGGCATAGACATGTCAGATCCCGTGGTATTTCGGCCTCAGTTCGTAGAGAACGGATCCACCGTCGGGATGAGGATGACGATGACGATGATGATGCTGAGGAGGGTGACCAGGAGGAGGAGCAGGAGGAGGGCGCAGATGAGGATGAGGATGTGGACGATGGCAGTGGACCGTATGATGATTACGGTCCATTCAGTCAGAGGGTTGATGACATGTACGAGACGCATATGGTGGAGGTGCGTAAGGGTAGGGGTGGTAGGTTTGTTAGTAGATCTGACACATCATCTGCGTCCACTGTATCTGGGGAAAGCAGGAAACGGTCGAGGGCGGGTAATGATTCTTGGGTTGTTAGGAGTGAGGTGCCCGGTGGGCCTGTTGATGGGAGTGTGATTCCTAGCTTTCTAGGACACATAGCTGCCCGTATTTGGGAGGACCAGGAGAGGCCTTCAGTTACGGGGTTGTTGAAATGTCATACCCGGGAAAAGACTTGTAGTTTTTTGCGTACATGGGCTGAGGCCTGGCCGGCGGAGAGCGAGATGTTCGAGCGACTGGAGGGCACTGGGGTGAAGCACGTTCCTGCCACCATGCACGATAAGATTGACAGTACGCTGATCACGGCTTTCATTGAGCGATGGCAGCCGGATACAAACTCTTTTCACCTTCCGTTCGGTGAGATGACGATCATGTTACATGACGTCGAGGCCATTCTGGGGATTCGTGTTGAGGGTAAACGACTTTGTGCTGTGGCTGATGCGGATCAGGCAGATTCGCTGGCGGAGTTGTTGGCGGTGAGGCGCTAGGTGTTTGGGAACACGGAGGTGTGAAGATCGCATCCGTGTTGCAGCGGTGTTTGTACCCGAGTGCACGTAGGACGCCCGACGCACAGCTTATGTTTTTCTACTCCTCGGATGTACCTTGTTTCCGGATAAGAGCGGCGGAAACAAGCTCAGGCCACGCGACATCGTAGAGGCGTGTGACCCCGACAGTGTAGGCCAGTTTTCCTGGGGATCGGCTACGTTGGCGTATTTGTATCGCCAACTAGGATTTGCGAGTCGGGCTGACGCGGCAGGTATCACTGGGTGTCTAAATCTATTGCAGACTTGGATATACGAGTACTTTCCTGCATTGCGACCACATCGTGACCCAGTTCCTATTGACGAGGGGATGTCGCGTGCTTGTGCGTGGAGTCCGCGCTCGGAGAAGAAGTCCGTTGACCGCCTCCGATCGATACGGTTATTGCTGGACAGGCTGTCCCCCTTAGAGGTAACGTTTATTTATAGAGTCTACATTTTATTATTTGCACATATTATATTCATGTTATTAAATTTTATATGTTGTAATTGTACAGGTGAACTGGATGCCTTTCGGCCCGAACCCTAGTGTTAGGGTACCCAGGACCCTGTACACGGGACTCATTCAGTATCGTGACATCGTCGAGGCGTACATGCCCCAGCGTTGTCTTCGCCAGCTTGGATTTGTCCAAGTTGTCCCTCCTCCCCCGGCGTGCCCGATGAAGGCGGTCCGACCTGCATCGTCGAGGGAGTACGTCGTGGAATGGCCGGATATCATGACCGGGACGTGGGACCAGTTTCCGATGGTGGCCCGCTTATGGACAGCGGAGTTGCAGCGGCCGCCCTCTAGGGTTACTCCCATGTGTGACCATTACTACATGGAATGGTTCAACCGGTATTCGCACCCGAGGTTGATCGCTGATCTCGACCACAGCGATGATGATTATGTGCCACCGCCTACTGCCACGGAAGCGGTATGTCTTTTATTATATTTATCGTTGTCTTTTAATTAAGTTTTATTTGTTGTTATTGTATTTCATCTTCTGTTTTTTGTTGTATGCAGTGGATGGGAAAGATAATGCAAGACGTTCAGAAACTCTCTCTTGAGAAGGACAACATGAGTGCAACAGGGAGAGCTGTTGTTGATAGTCTGGAACAGACCCTTGCGCAGTGGGAGTCGTCGTCGAGGAGGGATTACTGATGGTTATTGTATTTTATTTATAGAGCATTATGTTGGACATTATGTTGTAAAATTGTAACATTTTAGATTGTTCTTTTAGCTTCCAACTTAAACATATTATCAGTGCTGTTTTTAAATTTTGATATAACCGTTCGTGGATCCGCGCAACTTACCCATGCAACATATAGAATGCAGTAAGCAATACAATATAAAATATTAATGTTCTCATTAAAAGAGCAACGTACAAATAAGATTACAAATAAAGAATGTAAACAAGAAAAACTAAAATGCAGCTAGGGTGTTCCATTCGTGGATCCGGTCATTATATAGCGCATCCCAACCCTCTACGCTCGCTGTGCGAATGTTGTACCACCGAGGTATAATCGGTGGCACCGGAAAATCGGTTGACATGTCTAGTCGGATGAAATGTCTGTATGACGACCCAAGAAACGCAATAGCTAGCTCTCTGACCGGTGTGGTGACAGTCTCACGCGACCGCCAAAGGAGAACCGTGGTACAAGGATAATAAGCTTGACTATGCACTCCCAGGCCGAAATGCATGACTGCGCATTTGTAAATGTTTGCAACGGCAAACAGATCTAGGGGCGCGTCAAAATAATGATTTTCGCCGCAAGGTCCACCTCCCCACCGGATACGCCGGAGAGCGCCATCCAAGTCATCTTGGTACACATGACGATAAACATTTCGGTTAGAGGCAATTTCGCTGTACATCAACTCACGCACCAAACCGTAGCTGTCTTCGCCCATTTGAAAAACATCAGCCACGACCCGGAATCCGCAGTTACCATCTCCGATTACATCATTCCACCCTTCCAAGTACGACATGATGATCGCAGGTATCCTTTCCTTGTACGGAAACTGATCAACATCGTTTCTTCCTATTCACCAAATAATTAATTATAGACAGTTAAGAAGACAGGAGTAACACTTTAAAACTATGTGCAATAAAAACAACCAAAACGTACCAGTTCTCAGGGGCATATTCACAGACGATGAAGATTGACTACGACTAGATGACGATGTCCGACCACGAGAACGACCACAACCAAGACCACGGATATACTCAAACGCACTCCTGTTCCGCCGTTGTCGACCTCGAGGACGGTCAACTCCTTCGGGTTCCTCATAATCTAAGTTAGACGGGTGGAACATGTCATGAAGCACATGAGTAGCGTCACGAATAATAGAAGGATGGCTGGAGGACACTCGGTCGTACATCGAACGGAACTGCTCCAACTCTTCCTGTTCACGGTCGGCCGTTTGATTGTCTGCATGCTCACCAATAACAAGCGTCCTCCAGAATGAATGGACCTGATCAACATGTAACGACGCCCTTTCTTCTGTAATAACACGATGAATGGTGCATGCGCAAGGTAATCCATGAGTTACTGAAATAGTACACCCACACCGAGTATACACTTCGTCAGCCAAGTCCCTCACCCTGTTCAGCTCAGTGAGAATCAACCCCAAGCAGTAGTGCGACACACGACCATGGAGAATCTTAAATATAAAATGGCTATACATCGTACCATGTCGTCGTCTAGAGTCCTCTAGAGAGTTCCTGATGTCGTTCTTCTGAGTTTCAATTGACTTGTTCAGTCTAGCGAACAGTGTATCCAAAGCAGCGGTCGATGAATCAATCCAGTCCTTGGTAGCTCTATGAGCGCTCTCAACTCTACATGTTGTAGTGTTCCCAAAATGAAGTACCTGGTTTGTCCAATATTTGACAAACTTTTCCCTGTGAGGGACCCATTGATGCATCACATAGTCCACCAGTGCCGGACACCACTGGTACGAATCCCTGAAGTTAGCCAATGCTCGCTCATACGCTTCCTCTGTGGTAGCCTGTAGGATCTTCCGCCACTTACCATTCACCAATCTCTCTGCCATTTCCAAATTCTTCTTGAAAAGGTTGTAGGCTTTCACTTTCACGCAGTTGTTGATGTGCCATGTGCACAATAAGTGGTTCGATTCGGGAAACAACTCTGCTATGGGGGCAAAGAGACCTCCCTCACAGTCGCTGACGATGGCTGCTGGATGAACATTAGGCCCGATGTAGTTTCTCAGCTTCTCCAAAACCCAATAATAACTTGGAGCCGTCTCATCCCTGATGATTGCATGACCAATCAGAAAGTTCTGGTTCGTTAGAGCCATCCCAACCATCTCAACCAGAGGGAACTTGTACTTGTTTGTCTTGTACGTTGAGTCGATCAAAATCACAAATGGCCAAGACTTGATCATATCAGCACAATCAGGATGCACAAGGAAAAGATGAGTCACCTCCGCTGTATCTTCATCAGAATCAAACCAGAACAGGTAACCACGTGATTGTGCCTGGTGTAGCAGCTGCTGTATAGGGTTCCTTCCCTCTGACCGTTCAAACCTGAGTTGCTGTCTGACGTTGTAGATGTGTCTTCGGTTTGGATGGTCTTCTGGAAATTTCTCTAACACAGATGCTAATATTTTAGCAGGCTTCACTTGAGCATCACTCATTTCTTTCACAACTAGTTTCGCAGCAGGACTTAAGCCGCTCAGTTGTCGATGACCCTCTTCATATACTATTATCTCATGGTTGTGATACCCCCATTTAGAGTAACCTATCACTTCCCAACCGTCACGACTCCGTAGTTGTCGAACCTTTACTCTGAACTCACACCCACAACCTTTCCGCTTTGTGTCAAACCGAGTGGCTGTACGAAAATCTCTTTCTTCTCTTTTGCGATAACGGTCACATCTCAAAATGCGATCCATTCTACCATCCCGTTGAGATTTATGAGTTGCTACTACCAAGCAAAATCCAACTGCAATTGCAACCTGTTTTGCTCAATCAATCGCCTGTTGAGCTTCTTCGAATGGACCATCATGTCCAAATATCTCACTGTAATCATTTCCGTCTCCACCATATTCCTGCATCAATTATATATTACAATAAATACATTTAACGGATAATACATTTAATTTCTATATTTCCACATAATTAACACAAAAAAAAACATAATTATATATAATCAAACTTAATTTTTATAAAAACCCAATTCGAATTTTCAAACTAAATTTAAAAATATACCATTTCGAATTTTCAAATTTAATTTTAAAAAAACCTATTTCGAATTTTCAAATTTAATTTACAAAAAACCCATTTCGAATTTTTTTAAAAAATCATTTTCGATTTTTTTTTCACAAAAAAATTAAATAAAAACAACAACAAAATCAAAAAGGAAAAAATAAAAATTAATTATTAAAGGTGGCGTCTGCAAGGGCTGCCACAACCACTGGACTGACGCCTGGCAGGGCCGCCTCACCCAGTGGAGTGGCGTCTGCCCAGGACGCCAGTCTGGTGGTCTGGGCGTCTGGGCTGGACGCCACTCTGGTGGTCTGGGCGTCTAGCCTGGACGCCACTCTGGTGGTTCTGGCGTCCGGCTTGGACGTCCAGGCTACGGTTTGGGCGTCCACCCTAGGCGCCGGAGCCACTACGACGGTAAACCGTGAATTTTAACGGTGACTTACCTCGTTTTCCGTCGACGACGACGTACCTCCGGCGTCCCCCGCATCTCCGGCCTGCCATCCGGTCTCCCCTGGCGAGCCAGTACGGCTCCACATTTTTTACACCGAGATTATCTCAATTTTAGCAAAAGGGCATAATGGTCAAATCATAACATATTTGTGGGCTTTATATGGTAAATTGCGGGCGATGTTTAGCGTTTCACTAAATTGTGGGTGTGAGCTAATTTACTCCATCCATTTTGTAATAATCGTAACAGTAGAATTGACACAAAGTTTTTTGAATATTACTGAGTGAGGACCAAAATGATAATTCTTTAATATAAAGTATAATTAGTGGGGATATATGATTATATGTAATTCTTGGAAAGAGAAATAGCAAAAAAAAAAAAAAATTAATGTAAGTGGGGTAGGCAAGATAGAGAAATAATAAAATAGTTGTAGGTCCTTACTAAATGAGGAAATGTTGTAATTATTATGAAACGGATGAAAAGGAAAAGTGTAATAGAGGGAGTAGTTGGGAGTGTTTTGTGAGCATTGTTGGGTACTTGGGTGGTTTTATATTTGTGATGTCTAGTTTGGTACTTTTAGGTTGTACTCCCTTCAATTCCGTTCTAGAATAATTGACACAGTTTATGCTATAAATAAATGATTACTCGTTAGAATCGTTTCAAAGCATGACTTCTAAATATCAACTTTTTATAATTTTTAATTATTGATAATTAAAGATATCATTAGTTAAAGTTGTGCATTGGCAAGTGTGTCGGTCAAATTGGGGCACTTAAATAAAAACAAAAGGAGTATAAACGGTTGATGGTAGAGTGTTGGCATACATAGTAATGTTTAATTACATACGTAGTACTTCTTGTTAATTGTACAGTGTTGGTAGACGGTAATTAATGACAACATTGGTACGGAGTACTAAGTAATTTGAACGAGTTCTTGACTTTTGTAAGATAGTGCTTATATTCATTATAATGTAACTTCAATTCCGAAAATGTGTTTTAAATTGTCCATCACTACTATATTAGACAACATATTGACTTTTGAGTGGTTATGAAAATTTACCTTGAAGAACATAATGTAGGGATGGAAGGACATACATTACCATTGGCATAGAACTTTCATTAATGGATGTTTCACAATACTAGAAACTTTACTTGGGAAACTTTTCATGTGTGAATCTACCACATAAGCTTCATTTTTTTGTCAAGGAAATGGAGATTGACCCGCCTTTTATAGCTCTCTATACACACTCTCTACTTGATCACATGGGCAAAAGGGACACTTTCTCCTATCTCTTTCCTTGAGCCAATTTTCAATGTCTTGTGTATTGAGAAAATAAGGAAGTATTAAGTTTATATTACAATTTAGTTGCCACATATTGGAAGTGAAAAGATAGAGTGAAAAGTTAGCTGTCTGGATGTGGGGATCAAATTTAAAGTAAAAGAGGGAGCAAAAATTTAATAAAATGTATGCTAAAATTTAATTTGAACATCCCTACGTTCTATTTGTGGCAGCTAAATTGGTATGAAGGTAGAACCGAACTGACTACAAAACGAGCTGCTACTGTTTTCAGCGCGATTGTTCAACTGTTTATAATTTTATAAGGATATAATCAATGTCATATGGGATTGGTTTCTGTGGAGGGTATGCACTTTTAAATGGGTAGTCCTTTAGCAGAAAATTCAAATTCTACATGGCAAGATGATACTGATTGTCCAAATTTCTTAGCATGATCTTAACCCGATGAGCATCATTACTGTGAAGCTTCACTGAGAATAGACCATGTATATATCCAAGAGTCCAACTTCTTCCTACGATGGAGATGACACAGTTCAATTAAAAAGGATAGGCCAGGTGTCTTGCACCCATTTTGTTGGACTAAGAGGGGGTGCATTTTGTGGCTATCAATCACAACATTCACAAGCTTAGAGCAAAGTGTTATGGTGTGGGTCTTGCAGTCAAGCTCCCATCTATCCGCAGGTATTTAAATGTCTATTCATTAGGGGTCAGGATACACTAGTTCGACAGTCCATTCTTCTCCCTTGGCAGCCACTCCAAAGCTCCTTGAAGTTGATGTATAACTGGTTTAGGTAGAGCATCCAGCCCACTACGGGCACCCTTCTGGTATCAAATCCTAGGTAGGATTGCAGTTTTGGCCCAGCCGAAATGTTTTCATTAATATGTGTTCTAAGTTTCAGAAAAGATAACATGAATTGTTTGGTATGTAGTCTTGGGGGAGGATGTTATTGCATCTCCCTGCTTAAACAATTGACGAATCATGACTGATGATAATAAACTGCTTGCATCCTTTGAGGAGTGTTATATGTTTAGTTGTTTTCTGCTGAGAGTAAAGAATAAGCATATTCAATTAGATCAAATTATCAACGCCGCCTACCTAAAAAATAGATATATTTTTTTTCCCCTTATTATCATGTATTATATGCTGACTGAGAATGTTGTTTTCTTTGCAATTAGGACAGTAAAAAGTATAAATCCGAAGTTTGCAGCATGCAATCTAGAAGTGCCAGTAGCAATTTCTCCATGCACGATGCATTTCATATGCTTGATGCTGATTTCTTGAGTGACAAGAAGGTGATATCTTTTTGGATGCATGTGAAATTCATAGTATTAGACTTACTATTAATATGTTTCAAGGTTGTAGTGCTAAAAGTTTATCTGCAATTTAGATGGTTGATATTGTAAAAGAGGCTTCAGAATTTACCCTCCCTATTACTAAAGCTGATCGCGAATTAGTCGCTACTTCTAATGGAGGACTGAAATATCCATCTGTTTTAGTTTTTAACCCTGATTGGGGGGCTAAGCAAGCAGAACCTGCAAAAAAAACATTTGCCTACCCTTCTTTCCCTGACATTCAGAGGCCTGGCAATGAGGAGGATATTACCTTTATGAGTGTGAGTTTTCTGCACTTCTTCTATTCCTGCTTCTTAGTTACTTCTGTCATTAGTGCATTTCTTCCTCCCTCCATGATTTGTTTCTTGTCTCCTTTTTGTTGGTAAGATTAGATTCTTGAACTGGGACAGCTCCTTAAGGCGAAAAAGATTTCATCTGTTGAGCTTACTGAAATTTTCCTCAAGATTGAAAAGGTGTAATATTTTCTTTGCTTAATGTTTTATCCTTTATGTATAGGAAAAATGGAAATATTATAGTACCCAAAATTTCAGTGTTGCCCCAGATTTAGTAGATGTTACCTTGTATTTGAACCAATAGGTTTTAGTCTTTTTTGTACCTTAGTGTGAAAATTCAAATATCCAAAGTTGAGGTCTTGAAAATCTAGGCATTTCTGCTTACATTAGCAAAAAAACATGCAGAAAGAGACCCAAGGGTAGTTAGGATTCAGGATATGATCTGGGAATGTGGGATAGTAATTATTTCATCGATTTATAGTGTCATCTTGCTTCCAAGTTTCTCAGTTTCTAGTCTATGCCAGGTATAATCATGTTCTCCAATCTGTGGTGACTGTAACAGAAGAACTAGCATACAAGCAAGCAAAAGAAGCTGATCGGCTGCTTTCTAAGGGTGTATATTTAGGTATTTTTATGTGTATCTTCTTGACATTTAGTCACCCACATTTCTTTATCTGTTCAAAGTATGAGTGCTGAACTTGTATGCAACTGCTAATTTTGACTCGCTTAGATATTAACTTAGCTAAGTGGAGTTTTTACAAGAATTTGGTACAGAACTGAGGCTTTCATTTGACAGATGTTTGGATCATATCTTCTCACAAATGTCAAAAATACAGTTTCTCAGTTGAACCAAAATAAATTGCTGTGGGTAGAATAGGATAGTTGTCGTCAACAATAAGTAACATTTATAGAATTATAGAAATGGAGATGCTGGAAGGAAATATAAACTTTGTATCTCCCTTTATCTGTATGTTAAAATCTTTGCAGGTCCTCTTCATGGGATTCCTTATGGATTGAAAGATATAATTGCAGTTCCCCAGTATAAGACAACTTGGGGTTCCCGAAGTTTCAAAGATCAAGTGCTTGATTTTGAAGCTTGGGTTTATAAAAGGTCCAAAAGAAAAAAATACCCTTTCTACCTGTGTGCAATCATCTTTCTTTTCTCATGGAGTTGAGCTAATGAATGTAGCCTTGTTTTTTAAGAACGTAGATATTGAATGTAGTTTTTATGTTTGGCAGGTTAAAGTCTACAGGTGCAGTTCTTGTTGCAAAGCTTGTGACTGGTTCGCTGGCCTATGATGACATATGGTTTGGAGGCAGGACAAGGAACCCATGGAACATAGAGGAGTTTTCAACTGGTTCTTCTGCTGGGCCTGCTGCTTGCACATCCGCAGGTTATTTTTCACCTTTTCCCCCAACAAATCACTGCCTACCATTTATTAGACAAAATTTTGGTCCTATATGGGGTCATTTCAATTAGTATGCTCCCTGTGTTCCTAAAATATATTCATTTCGCTTCTTTGCGTTTTTAAGGTTTAACTTCCTAAATGCTAATGCTATTGATTGTATTAGTATAAAAATATATTAGTCCTTAATATTTGTCTAAAGCTTTGAGATACATCCATATACAATATACAATGTTTGTAATTGCACATATTTTCAGCAACTTAATACTCAAATGAGCTGACCTTAACCATAGAAGTCACAGACAACGATAATTTTGGGCTGAAAAGAGCAATTCAATTGTGTTCTTTATGTTATCAGCTTGCTTTCACTTCACAGGAATTGATTAGTTTGTTATCTCCATTGTTCCCTAAAGAGGTGATATACTTTGATGATAGGCATGGTGCCTTTTGCCATTGGATCAGAAACTGTAGGCTCAATTACTTACCCTGCTGCTCGTTGTGGTGTATCTGCTTTACGGCCAACCTTTGGTACTGTTGGTCGAACAGGTGTGATGAGTATATCAGAGAGTTTGGTAAGAATTCAACTTCTTCAGTTTTCATGCTACTCCCTCCACTCCATATTATCTGTTCATCTATTTAGTTAATAATTATCAATATTATCTGTCTGATAATATATCAGCGAGACCTGTATACTAATGATTTATTCTTGACAAACTAAATGCTACTAACAAATATAATTTTTTTTTGTAAATTATTGGGAATGGAGGAGTATTTGCTATGAATCTTGCCTCATATGCACTCTCTTACTGAGAACAACTGATATTTCGGAATTTAATGTAACTGTTATTTAAACAGGATAAGCTTGGCCCTTTTTGCAGAAGTGCAGCAGATTGTGCTGTCATTCTAGATAACATTCGAGGCAAGGATCCAGATGACCTGTCTTCAAGGAATATGCCCTTTGGTGATCCTTTTGATGTTGATCTCACAAAACTCACTGTTGGATATCTTGATGATTCTGAGAAGGAGGTGTGCATTTTTGTTCATCAATAAAGAAAGAGAAACCTACATTCATTAGTGAATTAATGTGCATTGTTGAGTCATGGATGAAATTCTTTTATGGTACCTATTTTCTTTTTAACCTGATTTATTTGCCTAATTTCAGGTTGTTAGTGTACTTGCATCAAAGGGCGTTAACATGATTCCTTTCCAACTCAATTACACGGTTGACTCTGTCCAAGGAATTTTGAATTTCACAATGGATGTTGATATGCTAGCTCATTTTGATGAGTGGCAGCGCTCTGGGCTGGATGATGCATTTGAAGCTCAAGATCAATGGCCATCTGAGCTGCGACGTGCGCGAGTCATTACTGCAGTAGATTATATGCAGGTTAGTCAGATATTCAGTATATGATATTGTCATGATGCTTTGACATCTATATAAATAACTTCTGATACGTTAAATACAAGTGTCCTGAAACGTGATAGTGGACAGTGTTTGGCATCTATTTGAGAGATTGATCATGCTGTCGATTTCACCAATATTTTTGAATTTATGCTGATGGATCATGGATGCCTCACATGTAAATTAAGTCTTTATAACCTTCCAAATTTCATGAATGCAACTTTGCAAGTATGACCTTCCAAACATAAGTATTTATGACCTTTCAAATTTCATGAATGCAAGTATGCACCCTGACCTGATCTATAGAAACCTCGGCCTGTGACTCAAGGACTCCTCTTATTCAACCTATCCTATAGAAAGAGATAGTAAATACATGTATAGCAGTTTATGGTCTTGCCGCTGTGTTACTTCTGATTGAAAAATGATTGATACTGCAGAACTGGAGATTTGAGCCTTCATCTGATTCAACATCAATAAAGTTTCATTAATGGTTTGATCACAGTAGCAATGAAGCCTAAAGTACAGGTGTACCGAGTGTAATCTTAAAAATTTTTTTTTTACCATAAGTAAAAGTTAAAAGTAAGAGGGTACCATTAAGTATACAAGAGATACTAAATACATAAACCACCCTTTCTTATGTTTAGGTGTAGATTGGAGGTTATCATGTTTGATTTTTCTCAAGAGCTATGATTTATAACCTTTTTCTATTGAGAAATTTTGCCAAAATAATTATAGTTCCATAATTCCTGCAAGCTTTTTCTTTCAAAGATGATAGAGTACTTGTTGTGTGACATCTGCAGTTTTGTTGGGGAGAGATGTTTATTATACTCAAAATACAGATTTGAAGACCTTAATATCCAGATATTTTGCAGGCACAAAGAGCAAGAGGAAGATTAATTCAAGAAGTGCGAGAAAGTTTTACAGTTGATGCATTTATTGGTAATGCAACTGACTGGGAGAAAGTTTGCATGGGAAACCTTGTTGGCATGCCTGTGATGGTTATACCTGTTGGATTCTATCCAATAGCTAACTCAACTTCAAGCGACATTCGAAGGAGAACTACTGTCACGACTGGCATCTATGCCCCTCCTCAACATGATCACATTGTAAGATTTTCAATTTGACGTATGCCCATACTTTTCTGTGGGACATGTCAATTGTTTGGCAATCTGATACCAATACTTGCATCCTTGATTATTGTCACTCGAATCCCAATAATTTCATTTTACCCCAATTGTGTCAGATGCTTTGGTTTTCTATATCGGCATAAACACTAAGCACCTTTGGGACCAAAGGCTAAATCTGACGCTTGGACTTTCCCATGTCCAACTTATTATTTGGGTCTGAGTAACATAGTGTATTTGAAAGGTCATTTTGCTTTGTTCAGTTTTTTAATTTTCCTTTTTTGCAGGCTCTCGCACTGGCTATCGCTTTTCATTCAATAACTGATTATCACAAACAGCGCCCACCAATTGATGATCTTGGTCCTAAAGATTCGATTTCAAATACACCAAGTACTACCTATCCTCCACGGCAGTTGCGAGCATAACAAGTGCCAAATAAAAGCTTATGGACAAACTCAACTCCACTGATCAAGAATTGTACCTTTGGTGTTTTTATGTGGCTTCAGCATAGAGGATTTTAAGGTTTCAATTTGAATTGTCCTTGAAAATAAGAACAGCTCATTTTGTTGTCATCATGATATCTACTCTTCTGTGAAGCAGTTCAGCAAAATGGTCAGAAACTCAGAACTGCATTTGTACTTCCTACATTATTAGTTTGTATGCAATGCTGTATTTGATGATTAGTCCTAAATATATTTGGTGAAGTTTGAATATATAGATTTTTGTTGTCTAGAATTCAGTAGGATTTTATGTGTAGCATAGCTGCTAGTTAAATTCCCAACATTGTTACAGCATGCTTAGGAATTAGGCACAGCTGCTATCATTTGTCCGGCCCAGTTCCAAAACCAATGAACTTCACTTCTCAAAAATGCTCTAAATTCAGGCAATATTAGTCATTGATGACTCCAGTTATTATAGGCGAGACTTTCTCCACAAGAACACATTTTCCTACAGATCACAACGGCTTCTAATTGCTACATGTTTATCGGCTTTTATCAAACATAAAATTACCGAGTAAAAGTTCATATTCATGATAAAATAAACTAAATATCCAATAATAAAAACCAAAATACAGGGAGTGCAAATTCCATTTTCATTGAGAAACTAGTCCCTGAGATCCTGTTAAAATCCTCATTTACATTCCTACAACTGAATTATGCTTCCAAAAAATTTCTTGCAACCACTATCGGTTACTGTTCTTTCGGTGGCCGTATCACTACGTCCGAGAATATCACAATGTTAAAACCAGTATCACATTTATCATAAACTATCTAGGTCTCACGCCTAGTTCTTCGGCGAGGAGCAGCAGCTTCTTCCTTCTCTTCTTCTTCCTTCTCTTCTTCTTCCTTCTCCTCACTGCTTTCCTTGGTGCTTGAAGCCTCTGGAGCAGCAGGTTCACTTGCTGCAGCGTTCACAGCAGCCTGCACAGGGTAACCCAAAAAATAAGGATACATGAATAAAAGATATGAGTGCAGCTTAAACCAATCTGTTGGAGAGTAATGCAACACTCACCGGTTTCTTCCCACCAAAGAGAAGCTTCAAGAAAATGCTAACAAACACCACGACAATGGAAGCTAGGACACCAATGGTGATATTTGGTTGTGTCTCAGCTTTCTCAATCAATTCCTGTAAAGATACAAATGGTTTAATACACCTCCAGAATACCCGTTATCATCATTTTATAATTTAGACAGCAATTTAGTCAATAATGTATATCCTTTTACTTACATGAATCTTAGATTGGTAGGGTTCCAAAAATGGGACATCAGCAACCTTGTAAAAAAAATCAAACACCTTCTTCTGCAACAGAGAACACACCACACAGTTCAGGTACAGACTCAAATAGCAAAAACACCTTACAATAAAAACAAAGATGAGATTTTCACCTGAATGCCTGAAATGGCATCTGGCTGGCCAGCTGCTTCCTCAGCCTTCTGTTTCTCTTTCTCTGCCTCGAACTTTGGCTTCCATTGGGTCTGCCTGTATGATTCAGCTGTCTTTTCATCCTCGGCAATCAAAATGTTGTCAAACAATATGCCGTCTTGCATGGTCCATATCTCAATACCAATGGCAGCAATTGGCTCAAAGTTAGGAGTGTCAAGCTCAAAGTAGTTAGGGTTAGGAATTTCTTGTGGCTTCCAAATACCCTTATAGTTTGGGTTGTCAATTAGTGGAGCATGCCACTTCCCCTTGTAAGCCGGGTTAGCCTTCATTGGCCTCTTCCATTCACCACAGCCAGGTGCTTCTTCACACTTGGGATTCTCAATTTTTGGTGCCTCCCATTCACCATCCTCTTCATCATCCCAGTCTTCAGGTTTTGATGCCTCAGGATCATCAATTTCCTCTGGTTCATCATCCAACCATCCCTCAGGTTTCTCAGCTTCCTCATCTTCAATTTCCATTGGTGCACTCTCATCCCAATCATCAGGTTTAACTGCCGCTGGGTCAGGAATCTTTTCCCTCTCATCCCAGTCCTCAGGCTTCTTATCTTCTGGGTCAGGAATAGTCTTTGGTGGGATGATAGCTGGTTCAAAATCATCACCTAAAAGGAGGTTTGCCCTCTTCTTCTCCTCTCCGTCAACCAAGATCCTCACCTCATTGTCAGGGGTCAAAACAGCAGTGTACACATGAGTTAACTTATCAGATGGGACAGATGGAGGAAATTTAAGATGGTGTTCAACATATTCTCCACTCTTTGGGTTCTTGTGCTTCAGAATGAAGTGAACCTTGTTTGTGGACCCACATTTGTCAGGCCCAAACATGATAGAATATGGTGACTCATTATCAAACTCCTTTGGCACCCAACCAGCTTCCTGAGGACGGAGATATTTCAAGTAGGCACCACCGCATTCAAGCCCATTCTGGAGGCGAGTTTCGAATTGAAGAACAACATTTTTTCCCTTCAATTCAACAGGTTCTTCAAGTTCTTTCACAATGGCGTACTTTCTTGCCTTCTCACTGACTAGAAGCCCATAATCTTCATGCCCCTCACTTTTTGCGTGCTTCCATACACCTGTGCAAAAACAAAATTATATAAGACAGCACTTCGGTAGTTAGGTGTTGCACCAGACAAATTCAAAGGACAACATGGATCTCAATAGTCAATACTGTTACATAGCACAGAAGCAGCCCCACTCACCATGCCAAATTGTCTTCGAAATAAGAAATTCTACAAATATTACACCTCCCCTCTTTTGCTAACGTACATCAAGTTATTACATTACTATCCTAAGCAAGATAAGCATAGCCAACTATCTACTACAGAAAACAAATTTTAAAATCAAGGAAAGTAGGAAGCAAGGAGACAGAAAATCCTTGCATCAGAATATGAAAGTCCAAACACAATTTTTACAATATACACAAAAGTAGGGACAGAAAGATCCACATTATCATTTGGACCATAAATGTGACATCCAAGTTATACCAGGAAAAATTAGTTTCCAAGATATATCAAGAATGCTACAAGGAAAAAAAAAAAAAAAAAAAAAGTTGTATTGACACATGACGTGATGCACATATGATTACGAGAATCAAGTCATGCCAAAGTGACCAGCATTAACAGCACTTAATGCCTATTTGTAATGAGAGATGATTCTCATCCATATTAGATGCTTGTATAATAATTTGGATGACAAGTTTGGATGACAAGTTTCATGCTTAACCAAGGTGTGATTTTTAATGATGTAGAAGATATTTTGCCTTCTCAATATTTATGTGAATCAACGCAAAACCCAAGTGACGACATGGTGTGATTATCAATACACATAAATCCCAATTGTAAGGAGATGCTTTCTATTTTAGTAGATGATTGCATAACACGAGTAATATCAAAGACAACTTGCATACTCAACCAAGATGTGATTTATTAAAATGTAAAAGGTAGCTTGCATATTCAATAACCGATTAACCGCGCTTGAATTCGCTCTAGGATCTTCTCTATATATTTATATTCTAGGCCTTGTATTGCTCACATAGACAAACTTAATTATAAGTCAAAAGAATTTGTAATTGAACATCACTCTAACCATATTTCCTCCCTCCACAATTACCTTATCTGCTTGCACATTAGCTTAATATTCGAGATTATTGTGTAATAATTAATCAAAGAATAGGCTATTTGAAAGCACTCAGAAACGGTGTAGTTTAAGCAACCTAACATAATGACATTAAATACTCCCGTTATCCATAATTAATAGTCGCATTGTCCCAATCCTTCATAAATACTCCATAATAGATTCACCTCAATTTCAACAGAAAACACTTAAAGTGAGGATACATTCAGAATTCAGAATATATGCATTATCTAATATACTTTAGGAAATGTGTCAATTATTCCCGACATCTCAAAATAGTACACGTGATTGTTAGAATTCCGGACGAAATACAATCGAAGTCACTCACATTCTTACCAACCATCTAACATTGACATTCACAACCTACAAAAATTTAAAAATTCGCACCAGCAGAAGCTTCTATCACAGTTAGATCTACGATCAAGGCAAATTTAACAAAAATCGCAACTTCAAAAGATAAAAAATCAAAATAGCATTTGTCAAATAACCATTAACTACTATTACAAGCTAATTTTGAAGATCATTTACACATAAATCAAACTATCATCCAGATCTACAAGCAATTAAGAATTTGTTTCGTAGAGATTTACCATTGTATTCTTCTTTCTGAGAAACGATCCATCGACCTTCGAACGTTTCATCAAACGATTCATAAAAGATCTGAGTTCATCATCCAATTTGCAAAAATCAACAAACAAATCAATCAATCAATCAACAATATCAACAAAAATAATTCAAATCTCACAAATCAAAAACTCAATTGACTTACAGGATCAGCAGCACAAAGCTGAATCGCAAAGCATGCAACAAGCAACAATCCAACAAACTGATTCTTACTCCTTTTACGCGTCTCCATTAACACAAATTACACTGAAAAAGAGCTCAAATTCTGGAAAAATCAAACCAAAAATTGATTAATAACAACAAAAAATGAGATTCAGAAAACCCTAAGTATTACAAAGTGAGAAATGAAGAAGAAGAGTAAGAGAAATTTACCTTAGATTGATTGATCGAGAAGTTGCAAATGAAGCGCATCTAAGAAAAAAAGTGAAGAGTGAGATTTGTTTTAATAGGACTGCTAACGAAGTACTCGGACCAATGATATCACTCGCCACGTTAAATCAGCCAATGGTTTTTTGCCACGTCAATTTTGCCTACGCTATTTGATACAGTACATTTTTATTTTTTGTTTTTATTTTTATTTTTCTCACCCACCCGTTTCGTTGACCCGAGTTTTGGGTTCAATTTTTTCCATTCCTTGTTTTTCTTACATGTTTCCGATAATAGTAGCTTTTCTTATTCTATTTTTGGGCGTTAGATGATTTTTATTTTATTTTTTTAAAAAAATTTATTTTTCTTAATGGATATGGAAGATTCAAGATTGGGGTTTCTTTGTTGGGATTAATATGTACTTGTCCCAAGTCGAGCTAAACCTTGGACAGTTGGACTAGCTAGGTATGGATCCAATAGGATTGTGCTTGTTTTGTTCACTTGTTTATTACTTGCAACACATTTATAACGCATTTTTTAGAGGTGATTAGAAGAGAAAATGAATGACTTTATCAAACTAATTTTGACACAAAGAATAGGGAAGAGTTAGGTAATATGTTTAAAATTTATTTTGCTATTTTGTCCGTTTACGCTATCTAATCTCATCCTCAAAGAACATGTCACGAGGTTGTGTTGTAAGTTAAAAAAAAAACGTAAAAAGTACTATTTTATTTTAAAATAATAGCAAAAGACACTGACTATTATTAAAGTGCACCTATTAACAAATTTGACACAACAACTGAGTGCACCCCTTTTATTATTTAAGTAGTGTCCTTTCACCTATATCTATTTGATGTCCCTTCTATTAAGGATGTTATACATCCAATTTTCATTTTATGAAAGTGCAACATACAAAAGATGGGAATTGGTAATTGTACATTAGTGACAATAGAAATGACTAATATTGTCCTAAACAAATATTTAGCAAATTGGAAGATTTTGCTAATCAAGTTAAATAGGGAGAAGAGTTTCAAACTAGTTCAACTTCATGAAATGGGCACTAGTGTGAAGGCTAACTATAATAGCATGATAGGTCATGCTAAGCATTTATTGCACTTATTATTGTTTTATTCTTCTTAATTATTGTTTTATTCTTCTTAATGAAGATTTTGTCCTAGAAAATCCCGGAAATATCAAATAGTTTGGAATGATGATGAATATATTATACTTTACATTGTTAAAGATGTTGGTTATACGGAGAGTGAACTATAAAGCTGGGTACTAAACTATTGCCAAAGTTGCAGATTGGGTACTCAACTTTCACATGTTGCACTTAGAGTACTAAACTTTGTACTCAACCTGTTTCACTTGTTGTAGCCGATTATTAACAGCAAATAATAGAAAATTTGGTTTTTTTTTTCATTGCCTTGAAGTTTGTGAAGTACATAAATTGTCATAATACATTAAACCAGCAAAGTGAGCATTGCAACTATCATTTAAAAAATATAGCTGTTACATTTGAAGAAGTTAAGCAATGAACAATATATAAGAGATTGCTTCTGATATTTGGTTACTCCATAGCTTGTTGTCTGAACTTTTTTCCAAAAAAATAGTGCTTCTACTGAGTGAATCTGCAAGAAATAGTAACAAGAAAGATCAGTGAGACATTGATCATGTCAAGATTTAGTTCAGGTTTTAGCTCAAGCCTAAGGAGGTGTCATTGTGGTATGCTTGTGTCAAGGACTAGGGCTTGGACAAAGGACAACCCTAGAAGAAGATTCCTTGCATGTCTAGATTATGATGCAGAGACTGAGAGAAGAGGATGTAAGTTTTTCAAGTGAACAGATGTTGAAGCACCAATAGATTGGCAGACTGAAGTTATATTGGGTTTGCTGGAGGAAAAGGAGATTTGAAACATGAGATGATAGCCATGAGGAAACAACTTTGTGAAGCTAACCAATATGCAAGGAAGTTGAAGGCAGAAAACACATTGATGAAGTTCAAAAGGGGTGTAAGAGCGAATTTGAGTTGGCAACTGTGGGGCATAATTGTTGTTGCATCTGTTGTGTTATACTTTTATTTTAGGCAAAGAAAAATGTAAGCAGTAGGTAGTTATTATGGTACCTTAATGCTTGTTGATTTATCTCTGCTTTGCTAGGTCATGTAGGTCATTTGAAAATGTACTCAGTTGTTGCAATTTGGCAAAGAAATTTAATAAAATTTGTTTTATTAACTTACCTGCAGTGCTTGTGATGATATAGTTGTTGGTTCTTGCTGGGTTTGTTAGCTAGATATATGATATTCCTGACTGAAAGAATACACAGTTTGCTCCCCTTCATAGTCAGAGTAAAATGCCCTTTGAACAAGTTGTGGTGTAGGTGCAGGAACATGATTTTGTGGGTTAAAACCACCCTACAGCAGGAAATATTGGTTGTTACATTAAGGCAAAATTCTAAAATAATGATAACATCATAACATGAATTTATTACTTACTATTGCAACTCTCTGAAACCCATTTGGGTAAGTGTAAATGCCCACCCCCCTCATATGCATGGGTAGTTGAGCTTCAACAGTTGTTGTTGTTGTTGTAGAAGTGGAGTTCCCATTGTTTGAACTGTTGCTTTTGTCTTCTGCAGCAACATTTTTGCAACCTCTTGCATTATGGCCTTTGACACCACACAGTTTGCAGGTGATGACAACACCTGTCTTCCTGAGCTTCCCTGCTGCTATAACTTCTCCCGCCTGCAATCTTCTTTTAATTTTTGGCCTGTGATTAATTTTCTTCAGCTTTGGTGGCAAGACAAGGTCATAACTAATTGGCCATTCCTGAGGTCTATTTAAAGGCTCTAACAAGTGCTGATATGCCTTCAACTAAGTTGCTTTTGTGAAATAGCCATTCACATATGGCTCAGGATGGTCTGCCTTATTCCACATTGCAACTACAACATGTTTGCAGGGGATGCCACCTACTTGCCAAACTCTGCAGCTACATGTTCTCTCAGCAAGGTTCACAACAAATTTGTCTTAAACCCACCATCCCATTATGCAATCCAACCCCTAGCCCAAACCTTGCTTCTTTCCAACTTTTGTTGGATCCTAGGGCACAACACCATGTCTTTGTTGGCTATATGATCCCTCTTCTTATGTAGCCTCTCCAATAAACCTTCCCTTATGTCCTCTAACATGGTGATAATGGGCTTATGCCTTGAATTAAGAATGTATGCATTGAAAACCTCACTCATGTTGTTGTCAACACTATCACAACTGAAAGAGGGCTGTAAAATGCCCTGCACCATTTTTTGTAGTTTCTGTTCAAGAGATCTTCAGCTGCAGCCACTGAAATACCTCTCATTAGCTCTATGTTTGCATGAAATTCATTCTCTCTCAGTTGTACTTTTGGCAATCTTCCAAAAATGCTTTATGAATTCTAGACCCCACCAAATATTGTTCTGAAATTACAGTACACATGTCTCGCACAAACGCTTGTCTCAGCTTCAGAGAATGTGTTAGCTACAACAACAAGCAATCCCTTCTGCTGGTCAAACATGAAAGTGTATCTTGCCCTCCCCCTCCCATAAGTACCTAAATCAGAAGCTAAAACTTCTAAGAACCAAGTCCATGTATCTATGCTTTCTACCTCCACTACTGACCATGCTATTAGGAACATCTGGTTGTTCCCATCCCTCCCTGTAGCCACTAAAAGCTGACCCCCAAAAAGGCCCCTTGAGAAAAGCAACCATCTAAGGAAATGAACCTTCTGCAACCAGCTATGAATCCATTCTTAAGAGCTTCAAAAAATAAGTAAATCCTTTCAAACACATTGGCATTCATATTTAGTTTCACTATTTTTGGCCTGTCACTTCTCAAAACTTCAGCTGCATGATAAGCCGTCGTCGAGCCTACCAAAGATAAAAAAAACTAACTTGGTCTCTCTAATGGGTAGAAAGGGCGAATGAATGGGAGTTGTGGCTGTGATGCGAGCTGGAGTTGATTACTGGTGGTGAGTGAAGGTAGCAGTTGCTTCTGTTGTCGTGTTGTGGGAAAGAGAAGGGATATGGCTAGGCTACGATTTGCATGTGTTATGGGTGATGTTTGGTGTATGTGGTGGAGCAGGGGCATGAGTTGGTGATTATGCTTGTGGAGGGAAAATTTAGGGATAAAAAATGGAGAAAATGAGTCATTATGAGTCACGTAACTTGGTCAACGCCGGAGAAAAAAAGTCAAGGTTGAGAATCCTGTGGGAGGTAGTCAATTACAACATTTTACATTTTAATATGTAACTAAATTACAACATTTTTTTACTGAGTAGTTTTTCGCAAGTTTTGGAATTTAATAGGTTGTTTTTTTTTACAAAAAATCCATTTTAAAATAAATAACTGTAAATTTGGACAAGTAATACCCTTTATTTTGGAAGACAAACGTAAGGGGCAGTTTTATTAAAGCAAAAGAACAAATGTTGAGTACAACAAAAGTTATGATCAGTTAAAGTTGACCCTTGTGCAAACAACTCTTCAAGATTTCAAAAGCTTTTCATTTCTCTTTAAGGCACTCATCCTTCTTCCTCCATAGCTCTATCAACCAAGCTCGCCCTTCTCCTTGCTCACTCATGCTTGATTACCTTCACAGTGCTTAAAAGCGCTACATTACATCAAAAACACAAACAACCCGTGAAGCATGGATGGTACAAAATTTACATAAAAATAGGATAAATAATGAACTTTGATGCCGAATAATAACGAAAACGAGGTTCAAAACCACCCTAAAATCATTCCAAATAACAAGTTATCACTGCATATCTTAGAAGAAGACCAAATTGTTTTTCATACTCACCAACAATGAGTTTTTGCCCAATTTTTCTTGCTTAGTATGCCAAGTACCTACTCACTTTAAGCCCTTTTTCAAGCCACACAGTCTCATTGATAACATGCAGCTTCATGTACAAATTCAATTTGAATTTGGTTTGGAAATTCCAGCTAGCAACCCATGAAGCTGTTATTTTCTTGCTGCTTGGTGCCCTCCCACAAGTACGCTCACACCCACCAACCCTATTTTTGTCATTCCTAGTGAATTGTATGTCTCTACCAGTCTCAATACAGTAGTTAGTCACAGTTTTCTTGAATGTTGTTGAATTCTCAAATGACT